CTAGATATAGGGTAGGTGGATATATATAAGAGGGGACAACGTGACGCGGGAAGGTATAGACAGTGAGTAATTGAACTGCAGTCAGAGAGCACGAGAGACGTTACAGCGTTTGTTTAGCGTGATTGTTTAAGTTGAGTGTATCGCAGAGTTATATTCGGAAAGAATAAACCAGTTTTATTAAGTAAAGACTTGTGTCGCTTAAGTTTCGTCGGAACGAAGTTACGGAAAGTTAATTAACAAACGGAGACGTAACAATACATTGTAATATTAATATTTTTCTGCAGATGACCAAATAAATGCTAGGAATAATATGCATAGTAACAAAAACAGCTTGAATTGCCACTTAGCAGTATTATTTGAATGTTCATTTTTGTCTCAGTTGTAGTTTTACACTTAACTAGTTTTTATAACATAATACACAGACAATAAGGTATCATTTGATCCTTCAAGACTGACCTTAATATTCGACTTCAAGAAAAAGAAGATTGATGTAAATGTCATAAATGCATTTTGGTTTTGTTTCAGGTAACCATGTACCAAGTGGATCTATACTACAACCACCTTTCATACAAAAACTTTCTGTAACAAGGTCCACTAAGTAAGCATAAAGGAAATTAAATAGTGTAAGTTCTTACCAAATCATTTCTCCATACCAACGAGCTATATAAATAATAAACATTTGTGGGATAATCCTTTAATTCACAGTTGTTTAAGTTATTTCAGTTTAGTATGAATTAGTAGCTGTTTTCTCACAAAAACAATAAAAGTAAATTTAATTTCATCTTTATTTCTAAGGAATCATTAATTCCACAAGTATGCCTGTTTCAGGTACTGGCCTCCATTTCTTCTTATGGTAACTCATTCCAAACACTAATTACCCTGTTAGAAAAATTAAACAGTCTTGACAGAAACTAACCCATCTTCTACAAATCTTAAAATTGTGTATTTTTTAAATTCATCACAAAGAAAGCTAAGGCCTTTATTTTCTTTTATCTCAACCATATAATCTTGTAAATTTTAATAAGATCACCTCTTGCCCTTCTTTCTGTTTTTCAACAGAAAATAAGTTAAGAGATCCATGGGAAAACAATTACCTACTCCTTCCTTAAATTCATCCTAGAAGCCCTCCTCTGAACTTTTTCCAATAAGTCAATATTTTTGCTTAGATAAAAGGCAAAATATTCCATGCAAGACCTAACTACTGGCTTGTATAAAAAAATCAATAATCTCTTTTGACTTATAATTAACATGTCAATAAAAACATCTTAAATTTTATTGGCTTTGCTATTAGCAACTGAACTTTGCCTTAATGGCACTGGTGTGTTATCTACCACCATAACAAGATATTCTTATTCAATCACATTAATCCAATCTTGAGTTTGTTTATCTCAGTTCAAGCCTTATTAAATCAGTCTGAATGGTGTAGGGGTTGGTGCAGTTTAATAGTTAATCTGCCAATCTGTGAATCTGAAGGTCCACAGTTTGAGTCCTTTTGCCATAAAATTACACTCCCTATTTTGAAGCTATTGGTGTATTATAAGAGTGAATGTCAAAATCCAGTTACTCCACTGTTAAACTGTATTACCCAAAGAGATAGAAGGGTTGTCATAGGAGAAAAGGTTAAGATTTCTGAAATTGTTTTCTCTTGAAAAAAAGAAGAGTTAGAGGTGATATGATTCAGGTGTTTATGTCTGTTAAGGGAAATGATAAACATTATGCATAATTTTTTGTACTTAATGGTGAAAATGGTAATACTAAGGAATCCAAGTATAAATTTTGGCAAGAGTTAGGTTCAGGAATGGGTTGAGTTCAGAGGTGGTGGAAGCAGTAGGTTAAGGGAAGGCTTGAGAAATACTTCAATAAGGACTGGCTTTTGGCTTTTTTTTTCACAGTGTAGTTTAGTGGACGGGACACCTAGATAGATCAACAGGTCCCTTGTTGTCCTTATGTTATGATAACTTGCATGCATTACCTTGCACTTACTTTAAAAGTACACTTAGATTTTCAAAAAGCTTTTGATAAGATGTCACACAGAAAATTAGCTAAGAAAATTACATTGGTGAGACTTGGCAAAAGACTAGTTAGTTGAATTGAAGGATGGCTGGGTGAGAAAACTTTGTGTTATTAATAAAGTCCAGCAAAACTGAACCTTTGTTACTAGTAGTGTGTTTCCAGGTGTTAGTGCTTGGGCCTTTGCATTTGCATACTTACATTAAGAATATTGATAAGGCATAATTACTAGATTAATAAAGACTACTGATGACATTAAACTCTTGAGTATTTGTAGCTTTATTGAGGTGCTAAAAAATGATATGGATTAGTTGATAAGTTGGACAAGTAGTTGACGTATAACATCTTCAAAAAGAGCTAAGCTTAGTAAAGCATTGTTTCACTTTGGTGAATCCATGTTTGTTTGTTTTTATATCATATTATACAAATAATTTATTAAAGCTTCTTTTATCACTCACTAGAATTTTTCCCACTAAAGAAATAAATTAATTGGCTTACAAGTTCTAGGGCAACGTTTAGTACCCCTTTGAAAATAGTAATAATTAATCTTTTTAAACTTGTGGTATTTATCCCCAATTTTCTTTATCTTTTTTTGGAAACATGCCTAATTTGAATTTAATTTTTTTTCTTACTTTTCCCAACTCTGTTCCACATCATTTTTCTACACATTATCCAAATTTACTAATCAGACAATTGGCTTTCTAAAAATTGGGTATTAAATTTCATTTTTCTTGATATCCTAAAGCAGGGGTCTCTACACTATGGCCCGCAACTTTGGTTTATCTGGCTTGCCAACAGTTTATTAAGGTAATAATATAATTCTTTAACATTATAAAACAAAAAAATTAAACATAATTGAGCAAAAGCCAATCTAGTTGCGATACGGCCCGCCAACAGTTCATTAAAGTAATAAAATGATATTTTCAATATGTGCTCTTATGAGAAATAAATTAGTGATGTTGTATTCTGATCATGTATGAACCCCTACTTAATCTTACCATGACCACTCCAGCCCACGAAGCCTAAAAAAAGATCTACCTCCCAGCCCTTGTCCAAAAAGGTTTGGAGACCCCTGTCCTAAAGTAACAAAACATCAAACCTAATTAGGCAATAACTTCCCTTCTCCACATCAACAATTGTAATGACATCCAAATTAGTGGTTAACAATAAATATAAAATGACATCCTTTCTGGTTGACTTCTTGACCACTTGGAATAAAACATCATCCTGAATCACTTCAAGAAACCTCTCTCCCTCACTATTTGACTCCATATTACCATTTAATGCTTCTATAACCAAAGCTTTCATGATTACTGCTTTACTAGTAGCAGTCTTGATCTCATTATACAATTCCCACTTACATCATTTGTCTGATCAGGTGGTCTGTAACAATCAAAAGCAATACACATATATTTACATAACTAATGTTTCATAAAACTGATATCTACATATACTTTTTAGTAAAATATCAGCTTTGAAAGATACTCTGTTTAAGCACATCTTAAACCACTATCCACACACACAAAATAGAAAAAAAAAGAAGACCGAATCATTCCTATGGATGCTTTTCTTTACCTTCTACACAGTTTATGTTATCGTTTTCTAATATTTATAAATCACATAAAAATCCTAACATTATGCTTTGTACATAACCCAAAGATCAAAATCTGTATTTTGAGGTAAGTATGAAGCTGATTTTCTCCTAATTCAACCTGAGTTGCAATATACCTGAGAAATATTCTATCTTAATCTTTAAAAAATATGTATATCAAGTAATAAGATTAATCAATATGTAGTCAGGTTTATCTCTGGATTATAAGATTATTAGAATCAAATGCCATATCACACACACACAAAAATTCAACAAACACCAATCTAAAAATTTAGCCATAAAAAAATTTACTAATTTCTTTTTTTTTCCTAACCCACTAACAAACTAAACTTCACAAACATATTATTATTAAGTAATTAACAGATTAAATTATTTAATTTTCTTTTTGGAAAATAACTTTCAAAATAAATACTAAAATAGGCAACATTAACCACCAATTTTTGCTTATGAGGATAACTATCTAATTATCTTTTGGCAGTATAAATAAAATATTATAATATTTGGTTAATGAATTATAAACTCCATCATCAGTCCATGTCTAAGGAACTGCTACATTTGCATCTTCATCAGTTTCAATTCCAATCTCTTCCAAAAGGGTTTTTTTTCCTTTTGGATATCCTTCTAATATTGCTTCAATTACATCATTGGCCACTCGCTTTCTTTTGCGCCATTCTTTGACACACTTTTCATTTTCTGTATAAATTTTATTTTTTTGAACAGGATCTATGTAAACGGTTGTGGATTTCAAATGATTTAGTTTAGTTTTCAAATTTACAATATCCTTATTCAGTTCCTTAAGTTTAACTTCAATCTCTTCTGTAATCATACTACTGTTTAGAGCTTCTAATAAGGATTCTTTCGATCTTACTGATGACTGGATCTCTTTTAATGTTCCGGACAAAGTAAGAATTTCAGCATCCATGGCATTCAGTTCTTTTTCTTCAACATCCGGGAACTGGCTTTGGTTAGCAAAATAAATTTTCTGTTTCCCATAGGTTTTCTCCACGATTTTACCGTCTTGAGAAAGTTGTTCAATGGCTTTAGTCACGGCTGTTTTACCATATTCTTTATGAAGGTTATTAAACACGTCTAGTACACTATAAGGACGATTCTGTCTATTTAAATATGACAGAACCACTTCCATTATAAGAGTTTCTTTAGATTTACTCATATTAAGCTCACTAATAGGAAAACTGAAAACTTGATAAGCATCCTTCGATCAGTATTTTGCGTTGAGAATCCCGCCTTTGAAAAGCACCAAAACAAAAACGTTACATGAAGCCCTCTGGTGAATAAAATGATGGTTATGTTTAAAATATTAATTCGCTATACGATGTTTTAAGTTTTGTATTGACGCAAAGTTGAAGTTTATCAAATAGTGTATTATATATGTGTTTAAATAATATATCCTAAAGTTTAGGTTTAATATTTGTGATTGAAATCATGTTTTACAGCAGATTTTTGACACATTTCTCTTCATTAGCCTATTGCTTTCTGTGATCTGTCCACCACGGGTAACGAAACCCAGTGTTTAGAGTCGTAAGCCTGTAGACTTACCATTGAGTCACTGGGAGGCCCATGTTAAAGATGCGATGAAATTCCATTTTAGACCCATTTTCGAACCATCAAAAGTCAATGTGTGGTGTATACGGAGTCAACCTATATTTATATAGAATTTTTGAAACCTATTTTCTTTTTTTATTTTGATTTGCCCTGGTCCATGGTTATTGATGGGATGAAGTTCCCCGAAACCAGTGTAATGGTGAATCGAGTGATAGACTGGGCTTCAGTTTTATTTGACCCCCAGTGGCTCAGCGGAAATTTTAAAGGTTTATAACACAAAAAACACATCGATACTCACGATGAACACATCACACAGACAACCTATTGTGTCGTTTTGTGCTTAACAATAAACAAACAAACAAATATTTTCTTTTATTGTTAATTGTAGTAGTGTGAATTGTTGAAACATGTCTTATTAACGGTAATTGGTGAATTTATCTAGTCGGGAGAGTATTTGCATGGCATGCGAAAGTTTTCGGCTTAAATCCTGCTCGCCGGAAACGCAAAAATTTAATTACCACAGAAAAGTTAATGCCAAGTTAATGGTCTTCCCACGATCTTGAAACAAGGTTTAGTCCTCTAACTAAGCTGGTAGGCAAAAGCTTTCTAATTAATTAATGAATTGAAATTGAAGCTTGACTTTCATTTACTATTTTCGTGAAAAAAAAATAGAATACTTTGACATGGTAGAATAATTTTACATTATATTCGACGAGCAAAAGAGAAGCATTTTCTGTTTTATTTCGAAATGAAACCAAGTTAGTCAGGAAGGACCTGTGCGAACACATTTCAATGATTTCAACTGCCTGATTAGAAAGCCTACGAAACAATAACAGTATTAAATAAAGAGGCTCATGTACAGCCCTTTTTAATTTTATTAGGCCTCAGTTCATAAATCTACTATACAACTATCACCTACTGAGATTTGATTCTTATATGACCCTTTAACTCCACATTTATTTTCTCTCATGTAGTTAACTCACAATAATACCCATTTCAGTTTAATTGATAAAAACCCCAATTTCTAGCATAATGAAGTTAATACTTCTACAATTAATGAATGAAAATAGGCCTAGTAAGTCTACAGTCATATCTAAAAGCATAGTAATTGAAATATAAATTATTATATGACTTAAAATATGAGACTTTCTCTTCCCTTTATTTAACTGATATGATCCAAAATGCGGCCATAATTTTTCTTTTTTGTTCAAAGAGATGTGATTTTATTCAAAATATATTTTATTCTGGTTATATTATTAATCCAGTACAGAGTTTCCTATCAGAAAGTTAGTAGTGCCACTGAAAAACAAATTGAATTAATTGAATTTTGTTTGTGACTGGTTCTGCTCCACAAGGCCCGGCAAGGCTAGGTGGTTAGGGAACTAGACTCGTAATCTGTGGGTCGCGGGTTCGAATCCCCGTCACACCAAACATGCTCGCCCTTTCAGCCGTGGGGGTGTTTTAATGTGACGGTCAATCCCACTATTCGTTGGTAAAATAGTAGCCCAAGAGTTGGCGGTGGGTGGTGATGACTAGCTGCCTTCCCTCTAGTCTTACACCGCTAAATTAGGGACGGCTAGCGCAGATAGCCCTCGTGTAGCTTTGCGCGAAATCCGAAACAAACAAACTGCTCCACAAAAATGGTGAGTCTTATGTGTGTAGCCACATCGAAAAGATCGCTGGTAGTAGAAAATATTCAGATAGGTCTCACCCTATATTCATATCATTTGGAATAAGTTCTGACATGCTGCGACATTTCTAGATTTAGCAAAAATCTAAGAAAGGACAATTCTGTAACATGTCAAAAGTCAAGGACCAGAGGTCTTGAAACAATCCAACTCTAAAAGAGAAAACCCGAGTAAAAAAAAATAAAAATGGAGAGATCGCCAAACTGTAGCCTCCCATAAAGTAGAAAAATATTTATTTATTCAAGTAAAAGTTTCTCAATTTTAATGCAAGAATTCTACTTACAGTTAAAGACATTATATTCTTGTAAATTGGTTACATACTGCAATTATTGTTCAGTAAGGTTTATACTACCTTGCCGTATTTCTGGGTCATGATTTCCTCGGTTGAGGTCATACTAATTTCGATGGGTGATATAGTTTGTTTGTTTGTGTTAAGCACAAATCTACGCATTGGGCTATCTGTGCTCTGCCCACCATGGGTATAGAAACCCAGGAGTTAGGAATATACCTCCCTTGAATATGTATAATGGTAATGATCATTGACATAGGTAACTTAAGGATTGTGAGATACTACACTAGGACCTTATTCTGGCTTAACATTGTGGTATTATCATTCTTCTGAATCCTGTTTTTATGTCATGTAGATATACTTTCTCCAGCTCCAGCATCCAGAAGTTACATACTACAAATTGAAGCTGGCCAATGTAGATATAGAACTCAAAAATATTAGGTGTATGAAAGATGTCTATGTTCATTTTATTCTCCGTATACTATATTGGTACATTCTGTATTATGGATTATTGATAGTTTGTTATTGAAAGTCAGTGAAAATGAATATCGCAGACTAAGTTATTAAATGATACGTCAGAGAACATCCTGGCTATTTGTGATCTCTCGTGTCCACTGGTATAACTCTCTCAGACCATCAGCGCGCGCGCACATACACACACACTGTCACTCTCTCTCAGGAGCTAGGATTGAGCACATTGTGACTGCTCAGGCTGAAGAGCAAGTGTCAGAGCATTAAAATGGTAAAATTATTGTCATATGTCACATGGCTATTAAGACACAAATATGATATTAAAACATTTAATAAAATACATTTTACAATTATACCGTGCATTTAAAGCGTACATATTTTAAAACATTTATTATTTACACAATATACAATGAAGCTCACTTTTTTAGTTGTTCGTCTTGGCAGGACAAAAGGTACGCAAAGCAGTATAAATTTCAAAGTTGTTATTACTGTAGAGTAGTTAGAAATATAGCAGTTTAATAAAATGTGCGTTTTGAAAACTTTTTTAATGTTAGTGATTTTCATAAGGTTCCCAGTTGTTTTGGTTTCGTAATTTAAAGAAAGCTGAGTAACATGTTTTTATTCGGCAATATATATGCAAATTCAAGTTCGTACTAATGTAAGAAGTCTCAGATTATTAGTGCTTCGTGTTTTCTTTATTTAAAATGTCTGACAAATATTGAATATAGGTTTTGAATATGAGATTTCTACATGTCTGACAAATTTTGCTAAGGCTCTGGCACTAAAAAATTTAGCACTACACCACTGGCACATCGACAATTATCAGCTTGAATGTTCCAAGGCTCAGTAAAATGGTCTCTACGGAACCCTTGGGCATTCAGTAACTAGTCTAGGCATTGCTATGTGCTGATTTGAGTGACTACGGAACCTTTGGGCATTCAGTAACCAGTCTAGGCATTGCTATAATGTTCCAAGGCTCAGTAAAATGGTCTCTACGGAAACCTTGGGCATTCAGTAACCAGTCTAGGCATTCCTATAATGTTCCAAGGCTCAGTAAAATGGTCTACGGAACCTTTGGGCATTCAGTAACCAGTCTAGGCATTGCTATAATGTTCCAAGGCTCAGTAAAATGGTCTATACGGAACCTTTGGGCATTCAATAACCAGTCTAGGCATTGCTATAATGTTCCAAGGTTCAGTAAAATGGTCTCTAAGGAACCCTTAGGCATTCAATAACCAGTCTAGGCATTGCTATGTGCTGATTTGAGTGACTAAAGGCCAAGAAGAGAGTTGAGATGCAAGTAATAAACAAAGTTTGCCACAAAGTACTGCAATGTCATCAGTTGGAATGTTCAGCATCTTGATGCAATATTACATATCTTTGGAACAATCAGAAGCTAAGTCCAGTGGCTCGTCAATGTAAAATGCAATAATAATGCTTATTCCTACACACTATGAAGTAATTTGGTGACTATGCCTGAGGATTCCATATTTTTCCACATGTGTATATCTCTTGACTTGTGGAAAAGAAGGAATGTGGCTGGAAGAATGTTGTCCACTATATTGGCACAAAATGAAACTACACACACCTCGTGGTGAAGATGATGACTACTGGTGCAGCCAAGAATTCTTTGCAAACATAAGTTGGCTGTATATTTTGGCAATACATTACTTAGCTGAGCCTGAACATATAGTAGACATTTACAAGAACAATAGCAGAAGCAGGTGAAAAGTGGAGCCTTTAATGCTGGCGCCCATGTTGTTGGTCTATAAGAACGGTAACTACAGGAATATATTTTTGCTTACCGCATTTTGTGAATTACTGTGTAAAAACAGATTAACATCTTTTAACCTGCTAGTATCGAAAGGAACTACCCCAGAAAGTTGATAGATTAGAAATTAAAGCAATTCAGGCAAGGTTTGGTTTGGAATTTCGCGCATAGCTACACAAAGAATATCTAAGCTAGCTGTTCCTAAGTTAGCAGTGGTAGACTAGAGGGAAGACCAACTCATGGTCTACTCTTTCACCAACGAATAGTGGAATTGAATGTCACATTATAACGCTTCCCACAGCTGAAAGGGCGAGCATGTTTGGTGACGGGGACTCAGATTGCAAGTCGAGCTCCCTAACTACTAGGCCATGCCAGGTTATTCGTTAGGACAGCAGAGGCTTCAGACAAAATCCTGGAGAATTTACTGTTGGTTTCGATTGTTGATGATAA